CTGATCTGTTTGGAACTTGTTTTATTTAAAAATTCGAAATTTTGTTAAATTTTTGTTTCTGATTGAAATTTCCTGCGAAGGTATTCATAGTCGAGGGCGATCGAGATCGATTCCCGAGCCGGCCGCCCGAAGATTCCAGCTTCACCCTTCACCGCGATCATCGTCACCGATCACTCGAGAAGACTGATAGCGCGCAAGTCGAGTGACTCCATCAGACCGCTCCATCAGAATCGACCTCGTGAAAAAGAAAACAAGTAAAGAAATGAAAAAAAAAAAGAAGAAAAAATAAAGAGAGAGAGAGAGAGAGACAGAGAGAAACACCAGCGGACAAGCAAAAAGATAACGGAAAAGGAAGTAAGAAAAAGAAAATCGAAGAAACCTTCGAAGCAATACAAATTGTAAATCACACCAAGCAGAACGGGCGAGAGAGTTCAGTATCGACAACTTGGATGCAAAAAACAGGGGGAAAGGGTAGAAATTTTGAAAAAAAAAAAATAACAGAAGGGAAGAATCAAAGAAAACACTCTAGAGAGAGAGAGAGAGAGAGGGAGAGAAAACGAAGAGGAAAAAGTCAGGAAAAATCTCACGTATCTCATGTACACATACGCATACATAAGCATACACACATATACATACATGTAATAGGGTGAAAAAGAGAGAGAGATAGAGCGTGAGAGAGAGTGTGTGTGTGTGTGTGTGACACAGACACGTGCATAACGAATAGGAACAGAATAAAAAAAAAAAAGATAGGCTACAGTGCTGCATACATATTTAAATTAAAGGAGCATTAAATAAGCATGGATGTGCATTCTAGATGTATTAGAGGAGTTTCACCACACAATTAGTATTAATTGTAAAACGTTGTAGTGCGACGTGAGGGAGGGGAGGGCCGTGGAGAACCTCTGAAAATTTATTTCTTCTTTAATCTCTTTATACTTCCAACTTTTCACTGCCTCTCTATCATCCCGTTATCACACTTCGTCGTTTCGTGGAGAAATTTTGGTTGGAAAATTGTTGGAATAATTTCTGAAAAATTTCACAGCGATTCTTCGTTGATTTCCCTTTTCTCGTTTTTTTCATTACACCGTTGCACTCCAAATTTCTCCCGGTATCTTCGTATTATTATTGTTCGTTATTTTATCGAAAAATTGTTAAATAATTTCTAAAATATTTTACAGCGGTTCTTTTTAATTTTGCATTTACCTCGGAGGTCTCTCCTCGACCAGTCGCCCTCGAGAGAAACGCGGTGGAGATTTATCATCGTTCACTCGATCATTATCATCGTCATCGTCGTTTTTATTTAACTTCGTAACGTGTTTTTATATCGAAAGGAGTACCGCAGTATATACAATAATTATTAACGAACAAACCAAGAAAAAACGGAAAAAAAAGAAGATCGACTAGTGTATTTCGAACCCGACTGACAACAATTAAAGAATTTAATTGCGCTGAAAAACAGTGGCCACAATTTTTTTCATCCATTCACTTCCCACCAAACCTCCATGGAAAAAAAAAGAAACATTTCAGAGTGAAACAGAGAAGCGACAGAAGAAGGAAAGCTCGCGGTGAAATTGCAAAAGGTATTCCTTTGTCCGTTTTATAACAACATTCCTCTATTTTCGTTTGATTTTATCGTTACTCCAGCATTCGTTTTTTTCTCTGATAAAGATCGTTCGTTTGCAACGGGGACCAAGTATACTTCGACGTGCACAAAAGCTCAAGAAGAACCATGGAAACATATTGCGGCATGGAGGAAGATAAATCGATTTCGCGCGAGGGATAATTGTTAACGAAGAAACCGATTGCCGCGTAAATTGTCAATTTTCTATCGTAAAGGGCTCTCATCCCTTCCGGCCATCGAGCGAAAAACAATTCCACGGGAATTATCCTTTGTGCGTGTTCTTATCGTCCCTCGAACTCTGCTTCGTATTTTCATTATCATACTTTATCCGTAGTGAAACGTGATTGCGGAGAGTTAACCCGAACGGCGAAGATAATACGCGCGATAACCAACGTAAGCCAAAGAACGAAAAATGAATTTAACGAGAGGGACAAAGTTCGTGACGAAAGGAAAATTATGGAAGGGGGATAAAAATAAGTAAACTCGTGATCGAAATTTTTGATTTTCGGAACTGCCGGTCGATCGTAATAAAAAATGTTGGAAGGGTTAATGCGTAAGTTAGTCACACCGACACTGCAAGGTTGTGAAAAATTTATTAAATGAATCGAGAAAGGACAATGGAGCGGGTCTGGCTAAGAATTGACGCGAGATCGATGGATCGAGGCGGAAAGGAGGCGCGTTAAAGGAATGGGAGCGCGCGATAAGGGTTGGCTCGACGATTGTATTTTAACAAGAAAATCCTCACGGCTCGGTGAACACCAGCACCTGCTCCGTGTGATAAGAAAGCTGCGACACACATTTCTGTCGAGAAGAGAGAGAGGGGGGATACGTTCGAGCGCCATTTTAATATCGTCTATTTTGATTTTTCTGTCAAATTCGAAAGAAGGTAGGAAACCTCTTCGACTTTGTATCGATCTAAACGTTTTCGTATATTAGAACGGAAACATTTAATTGTTTCGAAAACGATTATTTATTGCTCGAATTTATTTTTATGGGAATTTTGTTCAGTCAGGTGGTAGAAATTGGACGAGAAATTATTTGGATCCGTTTTTGCACGGGCGGATCTCGTTTCAATCAATCGCCAGACCAGATTCTTGTTCATTTCACACCCCCGTGCACGCATCATCCCCCGTTCAGAGTCCTCCGCCTCTGTGGGACCCCGTGAGAGGATCCTGGCGCAGTTCCTCGTCGACCATCGAGGCCACTAGTTGTCCTGGAAAACTTGCAGAAGGATCAACGATTTTTTTCCCATTAGAAAAGAAAATACGCATATAAAGTGAATTCCCATAAAAAGAAAGTAAAGGGAGAGTAACAAGTGAATCAGCGAATTAACTTTAATCGAATATCAAATTTCCCTAAGAAAAGAAGGGAAAGTAAAAAAAAAAAAGTGGAGGAGCAAGTTTAATTTCACTGAATATAAAATTTGAAAAGAAGAAGGGAAAGGAAAGAAAAGTAGAAAGTGAATATTGGATAAAAGTCGAGATTTGTTAGAGTTTATTTGAATGCTGATGACGGACGTGAACAGAAAGTCTTTCGAGCTCGCGAGGAAGGAGTTGCGCTCGATAGTGACGAAGATCGATGAATATGGAGTTGCTAGCAGGTCTATGAAATTATTTCGCGCGCGGTGCATGTTGAGACCCGGAGGATCGAAGCTCCGCAGGAGACACCTGTGGATCCTGCTGATCCTCGCGTGGATTCTGGGCCAATTCCTGAGGAATTATTGGCACACTGCGGGAAATAGCAAGGTGAGTACACGGAACAATCGTTTCACAACGAAGTGCCCTTCGAAATGGGTCGAGACAGTTATTCTCCAAATTTGTAGATCTTAGATCGATCTTCTCCGTCAGAAAATTATTCCTCGAATTACATTTTGATGTCTTTTTTAACCATATTATCTCTCAAATAACAATATAAAATTTTGCTTTTCTATAGAAATATTGATTCTTTTTTTTTTGCAAATCTTTGTCTTCTTTCAGAATGTTTTGTTTTAGCTACTTTACACAATTGTACCTTATCGAGTATCAAAAGTATTATTATTGTTATTATCGTATGTAGGTATAGTAGCTACTGTTTTTAGAGTGGTTGAAACGGTAAAAAAATTGATAAAAATGAACAGCTTGTTCCAATAATTTTTAGTAATACACAGGGTGTCCCAGTATTGATGGTACAACCAAGGAGGGGTGATTCTACATGAACAGATAAACCGAAAATATCGAATAAAATTTTTTCATAAAAGGCTCAGCTTTCGAGAAAATTCAAGTTAAAGATTCTCCGCGAACTATTGCTTCCGTTCGTACTTTTATGTTGATAAACAGGGGTAATGCCACGTTTCGTAAAGAAATAGTCTGCGCAGAAAATAGTGTCAATCTTCTGCAGTTGAACGAAAAAATCGTACAACGTTTCAGACAATTAAAGCATCAAAATACTGCACGGTCTGTCCATGATTCTGATTCAAAGAGCAAGGATTTGTATGCGTTGACAAGAACGCCACTTCCAACAATTCGTTCAGTAAGGTAAAGGTACCAGCAGTTGACCAGTTAAGAGAAATCCTCCACGCGAACAATAGTAACCACTTGCTCTGTCATTAAATAGAGAGAGTCGATGCCTGAAGATACTCTTCAAGCCTACTAATTTAAAAAAAAAAGTTATGTTATAAAAATTTAAAAAGCATATTTAAAAATTCAGTAATTGCTTCAGAAGTTGACCACTCTTAAAAATGAAAAAAACTAGTAATTGAAACTCTGTTCGTTAGTAGTTGACCACTTATACTACAAGGAGGGTTAAAGCAATAATGTTGGCAATCATTTTAGTATCGTTTATTTTCAACAATTACCAGCACAAGTTATAATTAGAATGGAAAGTAGAAATAAAACAATTCAATTCCATAACAAGTTCAATTCGGGAACAGAGTAGACGTTGCGCGTTCTGCTCGATTTCGTGGGCTCATTGATATGAGAAACTACAGCCTTCCACTCATAGTCCAGCACATCAGGCTTCTCTGGCCACCACTAAAACGCAGTATGCTACAAAATTTAGAACTATATTTTGTACTTCTAACAAAGATAAATGCAAAATGGAAACATTATAAATCGTAAACAAATTTAAATAACTCACGTCAGTAATTGACCACCCCGGTCAACTTCTAAAAACTATTAGAATAACAAGATTCAGAATTTCACCCACCAATGAACTATTGCTTTTTGTGGTTAGAATAACAAAAATGTTGCATTTATCACTTATAAAACGCTGTGAGAATTTAAAAAGTAAATAATTCAGTCACGAAGAGTTCACAACGTATGGATTTGTTTACCTTAACAGAAACGTTAAGGAAATAGCAATATAGAGGCACATTACTTACCTTAATGAATTTAGACGTTCGTTGTTATTACGCATACTTCCCGTCACATGTAATTCTTTTGAAATTTAACCGATAGATGCATTTTTTTCAAAAGAGTATCACTTATAAAAACCTTATTTTTTACGTTTCTCTAACTACTGGTACATGGTCAACTACTGATACCTTTACCTTAATGTAAATTCAAACGAAGCAAATCGTTAATAAATGTAGTATCGGTATTTATTAGTACAAACATAAGTCGAGATGTAGTTAACCTTTTAGCTACGGTCTTATTTTTTACGTTTCTCTAAAAATTGGTCAACTACTGGTACATGGTCAACTACTGATACCTTTACCTTAATGTAAATTCAAACGAAGCAAATCGTTAATAAATGTAGTATCGGTATTTATTGGTACAAACATATGTCGAGATGTAGTTAACCTTTTAGCTACGGCAGGACTTTCCACGGAGCTGTATGTCTGTACGGTAATGTTCGACGCGGACGATTTGTATCTATTTAGTGCCGTCTCTTCTCATACATAATAATTAATAATACAATTGTGTACGATATACTTTGAAACATAGACAGAATGAGCCACTATAGTGGCGTACCGTTTAAAAAGATGACATTCGCGAAAGCCACTATCGTGGCGTACAGTAGCTAAAAGGTTAAATGCACAGGTACTCGGAGAATGTTTAATGTCGATTTTCTCGTAAACTAAGTCTCAAGCGAAAAAAATTTATTCTATATTTTTCACTTATTTTTTTCATGTAGAATTCACGGTTGTACTATCAATACTGGGATACCCTGTATAGCAAATTAGTTTCCAAACGAGATTTCGTGTTTTATCTGTGCTTCCATTTTATCTATTTTCATTCTTATCTTTCTCTATTTTATTCTATTCTTGCATCTTGTTGTGTTTCCAATACAGTAAATTCTCCACAACTGTCAGTCCGCAAGGAATCTAAACCTGACACTTGTAGAGTCAGGGACTACGTTTTCGAGCCTCGCGCCCGCCTTTGTAGTTTGCCGAACGTAGACAAGGACAGCGAATAAAAGATAAGGACTTAAAGCGATTTAAATACCAACTTTTTTAATTTTACGTTTTTTTATCGAAAATGACATCAAACACGACATAATTTGAACAACATTTACTTATTAACAAGTTCACTGTCACGCCAGATATTTCACTGTATTGAGATAAAACAGACGCCCTGTATTACATTACATAGAGTCGGCCTACC